AAAAATTTATTAATGTGATATTGCTCCATTGATGCCTTGTACCACTGTGGTAGTTTAAAAAAATGTTTGAGTTTGAGAAGAGCTTGCAGCTGTTAGACAGGGCAACACCACGTAGTGTGCTGCCTGTACTGATTTGTTAAGTGTTTGTCACAGATGACTTCTGGCTACAGATCTGTTACTTGTTTCTGTTCTAAGGCTTAGTAATTGATAACCTGCCTAGAGAAGAACATAGAGAAATGAGAAAAGAAACCATTGAAAACTGAAATTTGGTGTGTCAACTCTTGTGAGAAACCCTTTCTACCCTCCTACCATTTAAAAACATGCCCTCACATTGAGTTAATATTTGTAGAGTTGCCCTCTCAGAGGGAAAGGGACTGATCTGGCTAGAGAGACAGGTAGGCACATGGAAAGCAGCAGGGAACTCTCTGTTGAAGTATGAGGGAATATAGAATGTGTTGTTTATCCAAATATATGACCATTTATTGACTCTGGGACTCAAGATCCCCCTTCCCCATCCAAATACAATGTTGTTGCCACTGGCTGTCATCACCTTATACATGCAATACAGTTGCAACTTCGCTTGTAGACATATTGCTGGGTCCTTTAGTTACCAGCTGAAAGCAGATGTTCCCTGTGTGGTTCATGTGTTTCGGAACATCCCGTGTGTATGTACTGCTCTTGCCATCCCCCAGCCACCCTGTGTATATCTTGCAGAAGGACTTTATAGCACAGAAAGATGGGAAGAGCTGTACTAAGTGCTAAGCTGGTGTCTACACTGCCTTATTTCACCTGGGGAGAGAGGGAGTACATGCAGCCCACGAGAAGCTGTGTCAGTAGAAGCTGTTGTGAATTGATTATTTAATAACAAAAAAACACAGTGCCTGCCTTTTTTATTATTTTTATGCCTACAGTACTTGCACACATTCAGTGCGGTGAGATTGCTGCCTAAGGCTGCCCCCTCAAACAGCTGCAAGAACAGGAGCCCATTGAACTCGTGCTGGTTCTGTTGCATGTCTTAATGAAGCTTTAGAATGCTTGAAATTGTCTTTGAAATGAAATATTCTGTAGCTGCAAGCTAACTGCATACTTTGTAATAATTGCTTAGCCAAATAAAGGCAAATCTAGAGGAACAAAGAAAAATTAGATTGATGGCTAGAAGAAAATGATTAAATAAAAAATTCATGAAGAAGAGAAATTAAAAAAAAAAAAAAAAGCATAGCATCACAGGCTTTTGCACAGAGACTTCATTTCCAATGGGAATTTTTCCTTTCCAACTAATACTTGCAGTTTATTCTCCTTGTTTACTACAAATACTAAAAAAACTTTTTCTGTGAGAACAGTGGGGAAGATGGTCACAAATTTAGGCAGAAACTGGGACATTTAAAAGCCAAGGTATGCTTTTCACTGCCATTCTGAGTGGGGGTATGGTGCACTATAAATAGTTAATTATTTGACTTGGCTTGCCTTTTTTTTTTAACTGTTCAAGCAACTGTGACTAAACAGAAAAACCCCAGAAAGACTTCTGCTTATAAATATTAGCCAAACTTAGAGCCCTTCCTCACTCATATTTACTGCTCTCATTGGCCATTAGTAACACAGAAAGAAAAATTAGCCTTTCTGTCTGTTTGCAGATTAAGACCAGCAAATCAGTATTTGTGAACATGTATCAATGTCCAAAAGTATCTGAGAAGTGTGCAATTGTTTGTTTTAAAAAATTATTGTTGAAGAATCAGCATACCCTCAGGTTTTGTGTCCTTGCTGTGGCACGAAAAAACACTCTGGAATTATTTTTAATTAGAGTGCATTTAGGAAGAAAATGCAGAAGATAGTTACAGTGAACAGCAGAAGTTTAGGGAAATACCTGGAAGATAGTGCAGGCATTTTAAGATATTAATGGTATTATAAAGTCTTTAGGTGATGTCTGGCATTAGGTATTTAATCTAGCAAGAGCACTTCCATTGCTTACTTGTTAAAGTAATTTAATGGATGAGTGATGCTATTAATGGACCACATGTAGAAACCAGCCTGGTTTTGTTCAAGACATTCCTTTAGGGTTTAAATTTCTAAACAAGTTCAGAGGCAATTTGAAAAGATCCAGCCTATATGTGAGCTATGGGAATCATAGTCTGTGAAGTTTTCTTCTTAGCATTTCCTCTGCATTTAGAAGAAAAAGGGGACCACTTTGTATGTGTATGTGCAACTTTAAGTTGGCTGAGTTGAAATGCTTTGTTTTGAGATTTTTAGAAGCCAGAGACTGAGCAGATAGATATGATTGATCATGCAGAGAGAGTGAGATAAACAGAGAGCTTAAAAAACCTTTATAAGCTGTCTGCATCAACATACATTTTTTATTTTCCCTTCATTATTTTTTGGAAAGAATTCTATTAGTAATATCTGTAGCATAGTTCTTGCAGAAAGTTTAAGCACATAAGGAAAAAACCTCAAATCAGAGCAAAACCAGCCTTTCTTTTTACCCAACACTTGAATATTGAAAGAATTGTAGACATCCATAGAACGGATGATCAAGTATTAAAAATAAACTTTGGAATTGCTATTTTAACACCAGATAGTAAGATAAAATCACACTGTGCTATCACACACGTGATAAAATCACGTGTGACTATGTGATGCTGAAGCTCAAATGATCACCTATACAGAGTTGAAAGCTGGGGAAATAATCTGTTGCAAGGGTATCTTTGATTTCTTGAGGATCACTGCACAGTCACATAGTTTAGTCAAGAACTAAAATGTGGTTGTTGACTCCAAGCACAGCAGTTTCCAAATAAGTGTTTGTGAAACCTCCAACTGTAATAGCGGCATTGTAACATCCAGAAGATGTGCAGCAGAATGAATGGATGACCTTTCAGATAGAGAACAAGCTGTTCACAATGTCTTTTCATTTACTGAGACAAAATAGTCTTTTTATACAGAGATAATACTTTCCACCATTTTTAACAATATTAGTGAAATATAAAGAATGTAATTGGGTTTTTTCTGAGGGGTTTCAGCTATTTGTTTTCAGATCAGGACATTTTCTAGACCAGCTGTGTTAAATGCATTGATCTAGCTTGATTTATTACAATTTTTTTTAAAGACAATGGAGGTATTTTGAATCCCATGCTCACAGGGTGGGATGTCATTATCTATATGTCCATGTGATGTCCACATGGTGTCTGGCATTGAATGATATATGGATGAATCTTATTGTCATCCTGCACCACAGCTATGGGGTCAATAATTTACTGACAAGGAGGTCCAAGGCAGCTGTAACTGAAATTGCTCTAAATTATTGTGAAATTGCAGCCTTTGCATGAAAAGCTGCTGGGATACTCTCAGCTGCACACATGTACACAAGCACTAGCTTGGACTGGAACAGATCACAAACGAATGGTGAGAAAATTGGGATACAGAAATCAGGGTTCTGCCTCATCTTTCTCATGTGAAGTATTATTTGGCTCTCAGTCTTTGCAGTGTAAATCCACCACTTAAATTACAGCTGCCTACTAACTAGTAGCAACTAGTTATACTGGTAAAGTGTTATTTGCTCTTCATTATAACTGGAATTCTGTTGTTGTTCAGCCTCTGCCTGTGTTCCTGTTCATATCTGATAAAGCAGGTGGTGTAAACCTGTTTTCTTGTTAAAGGGAACATAGTATGTCTGCAGGAATTCAAAGAACTATGTTGAACAGGAGCTCCTCAAAAGTTGAGGAAAACCTTACCATTTTGGGAAGCAGAAGTGAACACAAAAACTTTTAATTTTTGAGTTAAAAAGACCAATAAAATTTTCTTGTCTCTTTGAAGAAAACAAAAGATTTTGATGTTTGTAATCCACATACAAATTCTTTCCTAGATCAGACATCATATATGAGTAATTTGCTAAAATTGGAAGCAAATTTGTTAAATAATTGCAGAATAATTTCAATTGGATCTGTGAAGGCCAACCCCTGCTTGAGAAGCAGGTCCTGTATGACCAGGACGCTCAGAGCTTTGCTCAGACAAGCTCTGAATATACCTGATGTAGGAGATTTTGCAGTTTGTCTAGGCTACCTGCACCAATGGTTGACCCTCCTCACAGGAGAGGAAAAAAATTTTCTTTGTATCCTGATACATTTTCTATTGTTGCAGTCTCTGGTGGTTACCCCTTATTTTGCTGCACGCCTCAAGGAAAAGTCTGTCTTGGTCTTACCTCTACTCTGCCATTGTGATGTTGGAGACCACCACAAGATCACCTCTGAGCCCTCTCATCCTAGAGCAAACCAAATCCTTTCAGCCTCCCTCTGTGCACAATAAAAAAAAGGGTTTGGAAAAATCTGGAAACTAGTGTGGCACAGGAATGAGGAAAATTACACTGGGATCTGAACTAGCGCTGCCATTTGTCCTGACAACCTGCGGTGCTACAACTGCAATAGGTAGTGATGGTCTGCCAGCAAATACCTTCAGCCTGTTTTTCTAATGCCAATAGAAACCAGGTGGAGGAGAAAACCTTCCATAATGCAATTAAATAAACCATAGAGAAAACTTCTCAGTGCTTTGAGTGATGCCCACAAGACTGACCAGCTATATTTCTTTCATCTTGCGGTAGATGTTAATCACAGTACATGGCAATCACAGCTTTCTCTCTCCTGTTACTGAAGGCTTTTCTTGTGAATTTCCAGAACAATTTAGCTGGTGGAAAAATTGCATTGCATGCAGCAGAGACAAGCAGGATGGTGGTGTTTGTGATAAGGACTCTCTCTTAGTGTTTCCTGAACTGTGTCTTATTGTGTACATATTTGTACTTGTTGGTTCTTTGAGAGCTGAGGATGTGCTTGTTAAATAAAGGATCTGATCCTTGCAGTGGCAACATATTTATCAACTTAGTATGATGTAACCTGTGTGCTTTGGGCCCTTTGTTTTTGGGAAAGGGTCCTATTCCTGACATGCACACTAGCAAGAGTAGATCCTCTCTTCCTTCTCTCATGAATGGATTGTAACTTGTGCTTTTTTATCTTCCTCTGCAGAAACTCTCCTGGATGACTTCCTTCTCACGTACACAGTCTTCATGACGACTGATGACTTGTGCCAAGCACTTCTGAGGCAATATCCTTTCATTATGTGTTACATCTTGGTTTAGCTATTGTCAAGCCTTATATCAAAAGTAGTAGATAGCTTGCCTGGGATAGTTAGTTTTGCTCTTTGCATGCTGATATTATTGAAACACAAACCCTGCATTTGGGGGTTGAATGTAAAAAATGGTGATAAAAGAGAATAATAATCTAATATTTACTGTGGCATGCTTATAAGGTGGGTCACACCTGGGATTTTGGCATCACGCTCCAAGAAATGCATGAACAAACAGGAGATGTTTCAGATGAGAGCAATGGGAATTCCTATTCTAGGAAAAAACACCTATAAAGAATTATTTAAAGAATTTGGATTGTTTTCCTGAAAAAGGGAAACTATAAATGGGGCAATCTTTCAGGAACCTAAAGAGGAAGGGAAGAATCTGTTCCTGTATCAATTCTGGATGGGACAAAAGGCAGAGAGATTAAATATTAAATTGCTATAAAACAGTTTCATGTTAAATACTAGGAAATATTTTAACATTAAGAAAAGAAACACTGGAGTGGAAAATACATGATGTGCTAGAGTCTTTGATATATGAGAATATCAAGAAGAAACTAGAAAATATATTCCAAGGATAAAATAGGGTATACTTGAGCCTCTCTTAAGGTCAAAGAGTTAGAGTGGACTTGGATGGACTAGTTTAGCTGACCTTTCAAGGTTTCTTCTTCTCCAGTCCAGTTTTCTTAAGGTTTTATGATACTCAGAATTCAATCAAAATCTGTATCTTCCTAAAGTTCAGGTTATATTGTTTTCTTAGCTCAGCTAGGTTGTGGAGAAAAAGATATAAACTGGAAACATGAAATTCAAATTTGGATTTGAATTCCCCTAATTGGCATGTACCTGTAAAAGATATTACATATATATATATACACTCCTACACACACATATAATCACCTATTAAAATATTTAGAATTTGCATAGCCGAGGAATCAATAAACAGAAGATTCCTGCTCTGAAGTTGACTGTACAAAGCTAAAGCTGCCTCTGAATAAATCTGTGTCCAAAACATGCACACTTGTGTATATGCATACTTATTTCACAGGCATGCTTGAAAAATGTGTTGGACAGGTGCCTAAGTCACAGCAGCAAGGAAATCTTATACCTGCTGGTTTTCTTTAAAGATATAGCTACCTTTATAACTGTTACAAAATAACACTCGTACACTATGGGGATTAAAACCTATCATGACCTGTATGTTAATTCTTAGAATACTTGAATCTGTGTAATAGATTTCAGAATATGTGAAGAGAAAAAATGAAGAATAAGTATTTACAATCTCTGCTCTTTTTATCATGTGTTACAGTATATAAGTCTAACTCATTCTGAGAGAAATTTTTTTCTTATATTTCCAATTACTTTAGTAAGCTATGGGGTATTTTTTTAATGAACTTGTACCTATAAAATTAACCTGCTTTTAATTTATTTCTTTCTTTTATTTTTTTACTGTTTACCTTTTGTGGTGAAAACATAATCTTTTCACCTAATAAAAGAAATAATAGCAGAGGGACAGGAACAATGTACAAAGTGGGTATCCTCTGTCATTTGGTGTTTCTTTGTGAATACAGAACAATGGTAGAAATGGATTCTTTCACCTTTTAAAAACATTTAATAATGATATTTCTGCAGATAGTGTAAGAAACTGACTTGCTCTGCCTGGGTTTTTTGTTGTTAATGATGCATTGTCTTCCTTCCCCTAGACATTCGTGTTGGTATCTGTGTGCAGGATAAAGGTTCATTCCCAGTTCTGAAGAAAAGATATGACTCAACATGGTATAATTCCTTTTGGATTGATGTTACTTTTATAGACTCGCCTCTCTAATCTATAATAGGAAAAAATCCTGTTGACACAGAGGATGAACTGACATTTCTATTACTGAGAATTTCATTCCAAAAAGTTTTTAAAACTCCTAAAGCTCCAGATGGCATAAAACATTTAAAAGTGAGCAATGTAGTGAAAAATTTTTCCATTAGCAAATGAGATGATTGCAAAGTCTTTTCCATCACTTAATTTTTATGTTTCAGTCAGACCTTAGTATTTGTTCCTTAACCTACTGTACCTATTGCGCCAAGAGCCACCAAGGAAAAGAAGATGACTCTGATGTGTCCTGTAGGAAACGAAAAGTCTTGCATTTGGTGTCTCAGTGGACTTCTCTCTACAAAGACTGGTTACACGAAGATGAGCATTTAAAACAGTTTTTAAAGGTATTAAAACACTTTCTGATGCATTTCAGCACTGTTTAATTAACACACTGTGTCTAAAAAACCCCAACAGCAAAACATATGAAGCATGATTTTTCATACTTAAATTTTGTCTATGAAACCTGGATTAGAACGTGATTTGTGTGTCTTCCTTGAGTGCCTTAGAGATAGTCAGTATGAACAGAAATCCTGTGATGTCAATATATTCAATGTCAAAACCATTATTTTCAGACATAAAACTTACAGAACCCCCTGGTCTGTAGAAAATGGGAAAACTTAAAAGGAAAAAAGACTAGAAAGATGTGGAGGTTCCTTGGACACACTAGCTGTGTGTGGCAGAACAGGGTCTACAGTCAGTATGCAGAGGATCACAGATGAAGAGTTTTGTGGTTGTTGTAAAAGATGACACTTTGAGGAGTGAAATGCTATTTCACAGTGTTAGAGTGTTAAGAGAGTGAGAGACCAGCACAGCTTATGTATTTTTAATAAATAAATTTTTGTCCTTACTTATTAGATAGGATCTGCTGGTCTTTCTGAAGGAGTTCCAAAAGCTTTTATAATTCCCCTGTAAATCAGCAAAGAGCCGTGTCTTTGGTGACCCAAGATCCATCTGATTTTTTATTTTTTAATTTATATTTTTTCTCCTGTTGGTTGAAAGATAAAACAAATTAAGAGACTTTGCGGGATCTTCCACCTTTCCAGAGGAAACTCTGCCTGCAACTGGAGATTTTCTGAAAGGCCTTTTTTTCTCTTTTCAGTCATTCACTCGAGACAAAGGGGTAGAGCACTGAACTAAATTTGGAGAAGTCTTTGACTTTCTTTTTGTTTGTTTGGCTTGGTTTTGGACTAGGACACTGCATACAGAAGCAGAGGCCTTCAGGTTTTTGCTATTTGGTACTAGATGTCTAGTGCTGTCCTGGAAAGGGTTCATCATTCCATCCCTCAGGTTACACTGTCTTGATGCAGGGCTTGTCTTTCCTGCCATGGAGGTGTGTGACTGTGTATTGTCACACTATTTCTCTGCTTGAGGCTTCTGTGACATATTTAACAGCTGTGATGTTAATGTTGGTTGAAGTTATGCATGCAAAAACAATGGGTAAGCTTGTAGGCCAGAATCATTCAAGCTGAAATCTGTGAATGTAGGAGTGCTAATTGGACTAAAGCAAACCTGATGATTCACCTCATACGTATGATCTTCATTTTCTTGGAAAGAGGAGGATCTATGTGCAGATTCTAAAAAATAATAGAGAAAATGTTTCCTAGAACTTAAATAATTAAAGCTGATTCAGTTTATTTACCCCTTATCTGAGGTAACGTCTTTTGCATTTAACTGAGGTTCCTGGTTAATGATTTTCAGACAGTGCCTCCCCCAAACACAAGAAGTAGGATTTAATTATTTATTTATTGGTCTAAAACCAGGAAGATGTTCTTACTTATTTGTGAGAGACATCTACTTAATTTAAAAAGCATGCAAACATGAACAGAAGTGGAAGAGTATATTTTCCATTTTAAAAGTCTTAATCAAATGGACCTGTTTGTTACTGTTTTGGGTAAGTGATGACAGTGTGGTATGTTCTCATGCTTCAGAATGGGTTGTTCTGACCTACCCCAGGTTTCGTGTAGCAGCCACAAGTGCCATTTTAAATCTTTCCATTGTAGACTGATGCAAAGAGTGTTTTGCCAAAGGCAAGCTGAACATTGACCAGTCTGGAAATTCAAATAGAAACATTCTCTCCTTATGCGTCTTACATAAACAGACTGATGACTTTTGTTTTAGAAGGCTAGTGCCTGAATTATTTCAGATAACTGACATGGTAGATTTCTGCTTGAGTTATCAGATGTTTGCAGATACTGTTTTGTTTTGTAGACAATATACAGGAATGTATTAGATGATGTCTATGAATATCCCATTCTTGAGAAGGAACTGAAAGAGTTTCAGAAGATACTTGGGATGCATCGTCGCCAGTAAGTTTTTATTGTATTTATGATAAAATCTCCTTTTATTTAGAGTGTAATTTATTTTTGTTGTCATCTTGCTACAATTCAGTAAAGTGATGAGTGATACAGGTACTGTATTCATTTTTTACAAATCATCTTTCTTTAAATTAAAGCTAGATTATTCAATCTTCTCTGATGCTTGTTGGGTTGTGTGTTGTTTAGCAGTCACTCCCATCAGTCTTGGTAGTTTGTGGAAAAGCTGGGGAAGCCTCCCTCAGGAGCTGCAGGCTGTGACTTCAGATGATACATTAATTCTCATTCTACAGTACTGAGAAGCAAGTGTCTTTTGCAATATCTGCCTCAGGGTTATTATTTTACTAATAATTATGGGATTTGTAAAATATAACTCCTTTGCTTGTTTTTCCAAGCAATGAAGTTTGTTTACATGGTTTGACTGTTGGGGAAGTGGTAAGAGCTGTGTCCCTGAGGACCTGGCTGCTTACCCCGAGGGCCCAAGCAGTGTCTGTGTTGTGCAGCAGCTCACAGGCTCACAGCATTTCCTTTCACTACATCAGTTGTATAAGTCACAGAAAAGTTTTCTGTCTGAGCCAGGTGTCTTTAGCTTTCCCTGAAGGAGCTCTGCAGCCATTCTGCAGTGACCATTTAATGTTAAAAACTTTCTGATGTTGTAAAATTTGTTATAGCTAACACTTCCTTTCCCTAACCTTTGGCTGGAAAGAATAATTTGCATTTTCCTTTTTGTTTCAGCACTGTAGATGAGTATTCACCTCACCGAAAGGTAATGCAAACCTGATTGTTGCTGGTTGCCAGCTCACTCATTATCTCACTTTCTTCCCCTCTGCCCACATTACTTTATTTTCTTGGCTTCTGAATTGAAAGTGACTGGTGGCCAAAAACATGACAGGATACATCAGTGAGGTTAGACCTGCAAGGTTGCTTAAGGACTTTTTTTTTTTTTTTTTTTTTTTCCCCTGCTTTGCAGCCTGGCATTCTGCTGCATGAGCTAACCTGCAGTGGCTGTGACAGTATTAGCATCTTAACAAGATCCTCTGAGATGTCAGAATTCAGGAGAGGCCTGCAAGCATGTGCCCACTGGGCTGGAGAGATGCAGCAACCTGGGCAAACCAGGCTGAGCGCAGGCATTGACTGAGGCTGTCCAGTAGACAGAGTAAAAGGGGGATTTGTTGTGACAGGGGAGAAACAGAAAGAGAGGAACATGAATCTGTCTATTTAACTGGAGGGAGGAGGTGCAGATAGGGAAAGCTGGTGTACAAACTGCACAGAGGTGAACTGCTGTGCTCTTCATGCTCTGCAGCCTGGATATCTGCTGCATGAGCTAACCTGCAGTGGCTGTGACAGTATTAGCATCTTAACAAGATCCTCTGAGATGTCAGAATTCAGGAGAGGCCTGCAAGCATGTGCCCACTGGGCTGGAGAGATGCAGCAACCTGGGCAAACCAGGCTGAGCGCAGGCATTGACTGAGGCTGTCCAGTAGACAGAGTAAAAGGGGGATTTGTTGTGACAGGGGAGAAACAGAAAGAGAGGAACATGAATCTGTCTATTTAACTGGAGGGAGGAGGTGCAGATAGGGAAAGCTGGTGTACAAACTGCACAGAGGTGAACTGCTGTGCTCTTCAAATTGACTGGGCTGAAGCTGAAAAGTGTAATAAGCTTAAACTGCTACTGCAGAAATGTGGAAAGCAGAACATGAGATTGCAGTGAAATTGTTAAATAGGCCAATTGGTACATAGGAAATGTGTATAAGTGTGTAAGATATGGGCTCTGAACATGGCTACAGAGAACTTTGAAGTGTGCAGGCTACTTAGCCTAGGCGTGTTCTGCTTCCTCCACAATTCCCACCTTGGTCATTATTTACTAAGGCAGCTCCCAGTTCACTGATCCAGTAAAGGGTGGGTGAATTTCCTATACAGAAACCTTTTTGGCCTGACATGTGGACTGAATGCTGTGTTGTGTGAATTATTTTGTAAAGGGCAGGGATGCAGAAAGTCACTATTGTGTCTTTTTTCTTTTTTTCTTCTCCCATACTACCTCACAGAATAAAACCTTTTTCCATCAGTTCAGTCTGAAGGAGAACTGGCTGCAGCACAGAGGAACCATGAACGAAACAGAAGAAAGTAAGTATGATTTGAAAGGGTAGAGGAAAAACTCCAAAACTACGTAATTGTTTCTTGAGGGCTGCCCATAATGTACTTGTTTTTTAAGCTGACATTCAGCTTCTGAACAGGACCTTAGGGCCACTGACGAAGAAAGATTTGACTGTGTAAGGTTACCTTCCCACTTTCTGCTCTGCAGGGGTTCAACAGTGATAAGACATTAAAGGCTTTCTGCCCCCATCAGGTTCCTCTGGCAGCCCTATAGCAGGAGATGCTACAGAAGTAGGAGGAGTCCTAGAAGTGCTGGCAGCCACACTGGGCATTATTGCTGTCCTATTTCATGCTCTTGGTCTCTTGAACTAGATCTTGGTTGCAGAAGGTGAATGCATAAGCCTGTCACATGAAATGGGCCAGGAACTTGCCTTAGTTCCTTTTCTCCCCAATAACTTCCCCATGTGGAGTGAAAGGTGCCCCTTGGCTTTAGTGTCAACCATTTCAAAGTGCAGTTTCCCTTCCTTGTTACTAATGCAGTAACACAGCGAGGCTGCCACCCTCCTGTGCTGCCTGAAGGAGCAAAGAGGAGGATAACACTGTGTACACAAGCGGAGAACAGGCAGAAGGACCTCCTATCTGGAAGTCTCTCACCCTTGGATGAAATATCTTTGTTTCTTGCTGGGCACAAATCTCCAGAGGTTCACTTGGATTCAGGATATTTTTAGTGCTTGTTTGTAACAGAATGAAAACTGAGCTCCTTCAGTGCCAAGTATTTCTGCACAATACATGCTGCTGATGGATATCCTCCTTCTGTGCTTCAAATATAAGTTTATTTGAGGTTTGTTTTGTCAAGGCTGCTTCTACAAATGTCATTTCTGAATGAGAACCTCTACACTCATTCTTCTTCTTAAAAAGTTGGTTACAGCTCATGTGTGAATAGTGACAGAAGTGTGTTGGCACCAGAGAGGGGCCAGACTGCATGGCTTGTGGGGACAGGAAGGGCAGGACCCAGGAAAGGCCAGCCCTGAATGGGTTAAATTGCTTCTATGTCTTTCCTTGAGAGCATGAGCCATGGAAGATTATGGGACTGAGGGAATGAAGTAGCAAAAGTGGAGTTGAAGAGAGGGGAGACAGGTGCTGAGGCTGGACATCTCAGTCAGTGTGGACAAGTGCTGCTGACTGATGGCACTTGTGGATGGTGGGTCCGAGGTGCACTAGCCACTTCACTGGTGGCACTTTAACTCCTAATGTAAGCATTAGCAGGGTGACCTGCAGTCTATGGCTTCTTCCCCCTACTGACATTCCCTCCTGCTTCTCAAAGAGGAGCAACACAGGCTTCTGGAAGAGCTGAAATGGTCCATGCCAATAGATACCACAGGTGGGATGTTAGAGAGGTGCATGGGGGAACAGGCTTTGGGAGAAATAAAATGAGGACTGCGCTTGAGGACCTGACCTGTGGGTTGGTTTAGTTCAATGTTCAACAAAGGGTATGTCAGTACTCCAGTTATAAATTAACATATTGCTGTCATCTGCCCCTCCCAAGTGACGGAGATGTGATTTCAAACAAAGTCATTGTAGGCAAGTTGTGTTGCACACTACAAATGGAGGCTAAGTATGTCTGTCAGATTTTTTAAAATTTATTTTTCTACGTAGTAGTTTAGAGTGCCATTTGATGTCTCTATCTTTTAATGAGTTATATCTATTCTGAAGAGAGCATCTGATTTACTGTCTGTCAGCAGAGACAGGTTAAGAAAAAATCATAAAATCAAATTACTTTTCTTCCCCAAGGTTAAATGTTAAGTTCCTCCTTCCTTCTCACCTTCATTTTTTCCTCACTACAACACAGGAAAAAATAAATTCTTGAGGATAGAGTTCTTAGCTGCTTCTGGCATGGTCTCAGTTAATGAAAGCACCCTGAAACCACAAAGATTTGTAAAACAAGCAAAGAGCTATTGCTACATATATCTGTCAATAAAAATAATTGATAAAATACAGCATTTCTGGAGAAGAAAAGTTTTGTCTTATACTGACATGGTAGCAGCCTGTCTGCAATAAAAAGTGCTAAATTAGAAGGAAAGTGAAATTTAATTAAGCACTGAAGTGAGTATGAAACCAAGAGTTGTGGTGGCTCTTATTAGCAGATGTCATTTTACAAATATTTATGCAAGTCTGAAGCTCTCTTTCTTCTCTTTTAAGTATGGCAGCTGTATTTCAAAGAACTGGCTACAGTATACTCAGCAAAAGATGTAAACCTAAAATTCTGACAAGGAGAAAAGGATCAGAGTGTACATCCCTTTTTGTAGCAGTAGCTACCTGAGCTGACCACAGCATCACTGCTGGGCATCTCCCCCCAAGAGCCTAACCAACTCATGGACTTCAGTGGAAGTGATGAACCCATGGAATTTCTCCAAATCTAGTCTCTTTTATGTGTGCTGCAAGTGATTCAGGCAAAGAATTGTCAGAACTAATTGCACTGCTGTTTGGAGAGCCTCTGCTGATGCTAAAATACCTTGGAAATGCAAGTAGTTTAGATGTCTAGACAGATAAGCTAGCAGGAGTGGTGAAGACCAGGGAGTGCTGTTGTAGAGAAGCCTCCTGTTCCAGGTAGGAGTGGAGGTTCAAAATAATTTCTGCAGCAGATGTGAAAAATACTGGAGGGGTGATGATTTGTCTGAACCTAAAAGGAAGGGAGAAAATATGGCAACAGCTGAGCTTGTAAAGAAGATAGGCAGTAGATGTGGTTGTCTGTGACAAACCCTCATGGTAGGAAGTCTTAAATAGATATTGCTGAAATGCAGCCATGGGAGTGTCTGTTTTCTTGGCTCTCACATTTCCTAGTGAGAGGAGTTGGGAAGGGGGAAAATGGTGATGTTTGTGCTTGGTTTCCTGTCCCTGTAGGTCAGGCTGCCACAGCTGCCCTTCCTGCAGCCGCAGCAGCCAGGAAGCTGGGGCATTGCCATGCTTGGGGCTGTGAGATTCTCCCTGCTCTGTTCAGCTGTCTCTGCCTAATGCTGAGCATGTCCTTCTTCCTTTGTGCAGTTTTCTGCCGTGTGTATATAACAGAGCACTCCTATGTCAGTGTGAAAGCTCAAGTATCCATTTCAGCTCAGGAGATACTGAAGATTGTAGCAGAAAAGATCCAGTACCCGGAGGAGGAGTTGGCACTGGTGACAGTCACATTCTCTGGAGGTAAATAATTTCCCTTCATTTGATTACTTACCTCTTAGTGCATCATGTAAGGGAGGGCTGACATTTTCTTGTGCAAGGATACAGCTGTTCCTGTGCGGGCCCACAGCTGGATGACCATGGGAACAATGAGGAGCTGCTTCCCAGAGAGTCATTTCCATGGCAACAGCTCATTCTTGGGTACTGTTGGATACAGCATCTCCTCACTGGGAAGGGAGTGCAAAGGACTCTCAGTTTCCAGCAGTACTGCAAGATTTTATTTTTTTCCCTAC